AATCTTAAATGTGATCATTCACTTAATCATTTAATGATATTGGCTCAATTTAGAACTAAATGTAATTTTAAAGAAAAAAATCAAATTAATTTCTTTTTGTTAAATCCACTTTTATTTTTTTTTTTTGTTGCTTAAATTTCCGATAATTTTTGGAAAATTTACTTTTGTTTATTTTGATCAAACTGAAAGATGTTCATTTACTTCATAACTTATCATCGTTTGTAGCATATTTATTTATCATGTAATTACTAGGATCGATGTGTTACAATTTACCTCCGTTTCTCATTTTACACTAATTTCTACTTAGTAATAAATGCTAATTTAAGTTATTAACAGATAGATGATGTATTAGATAGTAACATAGCAGGAATTGATTCCAGTATTCCTTTCAACTGATTCCATTTTTTTTGATATTTGCATAATTTGTATTTTACATTCTCTTTGATATTAAGAAATGATACGAATTGAATGTTCTTTTATAAGTTTGATTTTTTTAAAATGAAATCTAATTACTCATATTGTATTGTAAAAAAAAAATTGATATTGTAAATTGAAGATGTGAAATTGCTTGCAGGTAGTTAAAAGAGTGGAAATTTTGCATAAACAGTGGAAAAATATATCTGATATTGCGATCAAAATTTATAATTATTGCAACAATAGTATGCATATTGGTTAGTACAAATAAATTTTCACTTTCATTAATTAATATTTTAAAAAATTTAATTAATTCTATTATTAAAATATACAAGCAATATGTTGCATTAATTGATCATGCACATTATTTCATTCATAATAATTCAGTTTATTTATCAAAGTTAAAAAAAAAATTAAATTCCATTTTAATGTTTACATTATTACTGTTGTTGTTACTGTTGTTGTTTGTTGTTGTTGTTGTTGATTTCTAAAATTACTGTATTTGTAAATAAGATAGATAAAATATTTTGAATGAGGCATTATTTACATTTTCTTTTTTTCTTGAAAACTATACGATATTGTCCCATATCTTTTGTTTTTCGATCGGCATAGAAATAGTTGAATTTTAGTAAAATTTCGATTAAATTCTTTCATCGTCATTCTGACAATCTTTACTGAACTCTCATTCTGTCACTGTCAATAGCGCATTTATTTCTTCTAAAAAACTACAGCAAAAAAAAATTTAACGAATTTCATCTTTCAAATTAAACAATAAAAAATGTATTTTTAATAATTTAATGCAATATAATATTGTTTAAATAAAGAAATGAATAACATTTTATTAGTGATTTTGTAATCTCTTAAATATCAGACGAAAACTGTTGATTAATTACTCAATTTTTTTTTTAAAGATGGAGCAAGAAGGAAAAAAAAAGATAGTTTCTCATTGTTCTTTATTTCTTTTACGATTAAATTAAGCTGTTCATTTTCGTTTCTTCCAACTACCATTCATTTATTTATTTTGCTTTAAAATTAAAAAATTGAAATATAAATCATTTCCTTTTCTTTTTTCGTTTTTGTTCTTTCTTTTTGTAATGCGTTATATCAATATATCTGGTTCGTTTAAAATCAAAAAATTGAAATATAAATCTTAACTGAATTTTTCGTCTTTAATTCTTTTTCACTTAAAAAATCTATATTTAGTTTTCTCTAAAATCGAAAAATTGAAATCTGAATATTAACTGAATTTTTTCTTTTGATAATTTGGATTTTACTGTTTTTTTTTTGTATCAGTAGTATTAGAAGGAAGCATTATAGTTATTTAAAAATTTTAAATTCAAATTTTTTATATTTATATATCCAAATACGTTATATTTTTAAAATTTTAATTTTTCCAAGTGTTTAAAATGATGGATTTAAATTGATATTGTTATTGAAAATTAAATTAATGTAAGTATTTAAAATGATATGGAAATTCTTTAATATGTAAATTTTTAGAAACGCCGCTTAACGGAGATGCAAGTGTGCTGTCGGAAAATGCATCAGCACAAGCTATAAGAAAAAGTTATGTTCATGGTGTATCAAACATTCCATTCCTGTTTGATACGATCGGTGATCGTCTTCGGTTAGCCGTCGATCAGGTTAAATTTCCAATATCTTTTATCGCTTTTAATTTAATTTCAATTATTGCTAGGAAATTTCATTAAAATTTCTTCTCATTATCAAAATTGCTTAACGGTTTACCTGCTTATCTTAGGTTCCGGATCGAGAATTTGTTATTTTTAAGCATGATGGCATACGTAAAACCTATCAACAACTTCTTCATGATGTACATATTTCCATTTTTCTTTTTTCGTTTTTGTTTTTAATTACTAAATAAGTTGTGTGTTTCGGAAAGGATTTCAAATAATATTAAAGTAGTATTAAAATTTTGAAAATATTTTCCATAAATAAATTCAATCTTAAACTTTTTGACCATAAAATTTAACTTTTATTTTCTGTTGTATTGAAAATTAAATTAATTTCAAATAATTTGGTGTACAGTGTGAAAAATTTGCTACCGGTTTGTTGCATTTGGGTTTGAATCGTGGCGATCGAGTAGGAATATGGGGTCCAAATTTATATGAATGGATCGTTTGCCAATTTGCTACCGCACTTGCTGGCATGATTTTGGTAATTATTTCATATTTCTCAAGTGAAAAAAGAAATTATTTAATAAATTTGACAATGCTGTACAAATGTAGGTTGCAAAAAAAAAAAGCTTATCGTGTATTTTCCTTCGATACAATAACATTATTCATTCCAAAAATTATATTTATTGAAATTTTCAGAAATCAATCATATGCGAGTTTTTTTGATTGTAAACAAAAAAATTACTGTATAATTTTGAAAAATTTTAGGTTAATATAAATCCATCATATCAATCGGAAGAGCTAAAATTTGCTATTGGTAAAGTAGGCATCAAAGCATTGGTCTCACCTGCAAGTTTTAAAAAATCAAACTACTATTTATTGATGGTGGATATTATGCCGGATCTTGCTGTTAAACCGGAAGGTAAAGGTGATATAAATGCCGATTATTTTCCTGCTTTTCGTCATTTCATTATCATTGATCGAGATGATGATGATAAGTTGTATAGGTAAGAACAGTTATTGAATTAGATAGATTTGATTACATGGAAGGTTCAAAAAAATATTAAAGTTTATTTATTTCGAAATAAATTGTCGATTGATTTTTTTGATTTTTTAGACATATATACACATATATGAATCAAAATAATAATTTGAAAATCTAAAATTGATTATTAAAGAGTTCAAGAGCATCTTAGATGAAATATATAACTGATAAAATTACATTTGCAGAGGAGCCTGGAGATATTCGGATGTGACAAAAATGGGTACTGAGGAAGATCGATTAAAATTGGCCGATATTGAACGACAGATACGACCAGATGATCCGGTTAATATACAGTATACCAGTGTAGGTATTCCGTTTGTATTTGGCAAGCATCATACATTAGTATTTTATCTTTTAATTGTCTACGTGAGTGTTTGGATAATATACAAAAGTTTAATTATAAACATAAATAGATTTTTTTTTTGGCACTGTTTCATTTGATTTTGCAAACATTCATCATTTTGATACATCACATTGATAACGTGATATTGTTGAAGAATGATTGAAAAAAGGGTATTTGTTCGATTTTATAATAAAAAATTGATTGGTATCTTCTCTAATAAAATGATAAAAAATAGGCTATCATCAAATGGTCTTCTTTGATTCCTTTTCAAAAAAAATTTTGCATAATCAAAAGTAGAAAAAAAGAAAATGAAATCTATCCATATTTGAATATACAAAAAAGTAAATGTTTAATGTTTGGCAGAAAGAAAGAGAGCATTCAAAATATGAATATTAAATATGTAATTAGATAAAATTTATAAAATATCTAAGAAAAAAATATCCTGAATAACATTTTTTTGTTGTTCATTTATACTGGAATTTAACCGGAATCTTTTCACATTCCTGATGTAAATATATGATGCAAAGTATATACCGCGTACAATAAGATCATCTCTAACTTTAATAATTTTAATTCTTATTGAATTTTTACAAATAATAGTAATTGTATTTGTAATTAGTTTTCGTGAATTAATTAATCAACAACTGTTTTATCATACATTAATTTCTCTTGTTTTTAAATTTCTCATATTTGCTATTTCTCTTTTAATTTAATGTTTTTTTTTTCTCAGTTTTTATATCATTTAATTGTTAAGATTTATTTCTAAAAATTTTTTAAATAGCTATTTCTTTATCTCTTCAATAACAAAAGATGAGTTGCATTGGAAAAAAAATTAGAAAAATTAATGATTTAAAAGCTTACACCGGTCGATCTGTTTTATGGTTATATAAAAATTAAAAAAGAAAAGAAACGAAATGATTTCTAATAAAAACTGCACTGAATAGATTGATTGGTGGATAATATTTATTTCAATTAATACATACAAACCTCTGTAGATGTTAAAATTTTTTGATATTAAAAAATAAGCGGATACTTCATCTGTGCTGCTTATTAATTCTAAAATCCTGTACACATATATATACATCTATTAAAATGCTAGAATCAAAAAATAAGTTGAATAAAAAAAAAAAAAAAAAAACCTTCAAATAGCAACCAAAATATCATACTAAAAAAAAGACCCATGCTGATAAATATACAGAAATCGAAATAGTAGATCAGTATTAGAAAGATTGCAATAACGATCATCAAAATTACTTTATTGTAAGCTATTATTAGTTTATTTTAATTAATTTCAGGGTACCACCGGACAACCAAAAGGAGCTACCTTAACTCATCATAATGTTGTAAATAATGCATATTTTGTTGGACGACGCGCTGGTTACAATGAAAAAGTGTGATATTATAATTTCATTTTTTTTTTTTTTTTAAAAGAAATCAACAAAGCTATAGTTTATTATTGCTATAATGAGATATAGCAATTATTAATTTCTTTTTTATTTACGAACTATCTCTTCTATCTTTTTATCCAATTCAATCATTTAAAAGAAATCATCCAAGGAAAAGTGATAATTAAATAATTATTTTTAGCGTACAATAATTTGTATTCCGAACCCACTGTATCATTGTTTCGGTTGTGTTATGGGTAGTCTGAGCGCATGTATTCATTTGCAAACTTGCGTATTTCCAGCGCCATCATTCGATGCTTTAGCTGCTCTTCAAGCTATACATGAAGAAAGGTTAATTTCAATCTATTTTTAAGTTAAAAAAAAAAAAAAACCAATATTTTATACAGTCAAAGCTCAATCTTTCATTTTTGCCGCATAAATTAGTTTTACTTTTAATTAGGTTCACAATGGTTTTTCTCATATTGAGTTAACAATTTTGATACTTATGGTTTATTATTATTTTTGATTTAACTTAGCAATTATCTTCAATAATGGAAGTACTGTTATTAATCTTTAATAACTATAATGAATAATCGTTCATTGTATCGAAGTAATTTTTTACAAAAGAAAAAAATTTTTTTTTTTGAATTTTTTTTTAAAATTGATAACATCTTATTTATTTGATTGAAGATGTACAGCAGTTTATGGTACTCCAACAATGTATATTGATATGCTAAATCATCCTCAATACAAGCAATTTGATTGCACATCGATAACATCGGGTAAGATCTTTTGATAGAGAATAAATACAATTCTTTCTGATAAATTAAAAATTTTGTAATTTTTTTTTTCTTTAATTAATTTTATGACTAAAAAATAAATGCTGAATTCTATCATTATTAGAATGTAATAAATAGAAACAAAAGCTTAAACATATTTAATCTTACTTCAAGGATTTTTGCTTAAAGTTTATTTCTTCCTTCCTGATATCAGTCATTTAACGATTTCATAAACTGCCTATGAGTCATTCATTTAAAAAAAAAAAATTATTTCATTACTATTTTAGGTTTTGTAGCCGGAGCACCATGTCCTATAACATTGTGTCAAAGACTTGTAAAGGAATTGGGTATGCGTGATTTGCAGGTATTATACAGTTAAGAAAAAAAAAAACTGATAGAAAAAAATTTAGGAAATTATTAAACGAAGAAAATTTCGACAATAAAAATCAAAATTTTATCCTAAATATTTTTTTTTTTAAATTTAAAAAATTTTTTAGGTATGTTATGGTACAACGGAAACCAGTCCAGTATCTTTTATGTCACTTCGAGAGGAACAACCGGAAGAACGTGTCAAATCTGTTGGCTACATTATGGATCATCTTGAGGTACAGTAATAATTTTTCTCGTAATATTTCAATTTAGCGACATTTTTGAAATTATACTTTATTCGTAATTCCTTCATAATGTTATATTATCTTTCACTGTTATGAATCTGAAAAAGTCTAATATGTATTTCAGTCTGCTGTAGTCGATAGTGAAGGAATCATTCTACCACGTGGTGAACGTGGTGAAGTACTCGTACGTGGTTATTCGGTGATGAAATATTACTGGGATAATGAAATACAGACTAAAGAAGAAATTACAACTGATAGATGGTATCATACTGGGTTAGTTGTAAGCTTTTTTTTCTTCAATTCTATTTGAACTTTCAAAGCAATGATATATTTTGTTTCTTGATTTTATCACTGTAACTTTATCGCTGATATAAAAAGATGATTTTTTTGTTAGGAAAATTTTATTTGCAGTGATATCGGTGTAATTCATGAAAATGGTTCATTGAGTATTGTTGGCCGAAAAAAGGATATGATTGTACGTGGTGGTGAAAACATTTATCCATTGGAAATAGAGCAATATCTATTTCGACATCCAAAAATTGAAGATGTGCAGGTATTGTTTGCAAAGAATTGATTTATTTGAATTCTCAATTTGAGTTACTACTTAACTTATCAGCTTGTTAATTCAATTATTAAGATTAGAAAATTGTAAAATGTGAATTTGTTTATATATGTGGCAAATTCTGATCTATTAATCAGAATCATTCAAAATATTGATATGTGAAGTTATTGATACGAAAAAAAATGATGGTAATGATAATGATGACAAAGATGATAATGATAGAGATGATAACGATAAAGATGATAATGATAAAGATGACAATGATATGATGATTCTGATAATGATAACGATGGTGATAATGACAATGATGATGATAATGATGACGACGTTGATAGTATTGATGATGATTAATGATGGTGATGATCATGATGACGGTGATGATGATGATATATTCGCTATTGTTCCATAAAAAGTGATGCTAAAAGTAAAATATTTTTCTGTTTTTAGGTTGTTGGTGTACCGGATGAGCGATATGGTGAAGTAGTATGTGCATGGATACGATTGCATGATTCTGCAAATGATGTTACAGAGGATGATATCCGAAATTTCTGCAAAGGACGAGTAAGAATATGATTATTAAATGTGCACTTAATGATTTACACATCTTAATTTCAAATTCTAATTGCAACTTACAAAAGTATTTGTAGCAAAAAATTTGTTGAATTCCAATCATAATCTTTGTAACAAAAATTAAAAAAAAAAAATTATACTTATCAAATTAATCTATTCATTTATGCTTCTCATTTAATTCAAAAATTTTATTCTTACAGATTGCACACTTCAAAATTCCACGATATATTTTATTCAAAAAAGAAAATGAATTTCCGTTAACAGTGACGGGTAAAGTGAAAAAATACGAAATAAGAGAATTATCGAAAATTGAACTTGGCTTAGAGCAAGTTTGTCCCTTTTTTTTCTCATTTTTTTTTCGACAAATTTTTTTTTTTTTGGATAATCCAGTGGATGGGTTATTTTAATGCAATTATTTTATTTCTAATATCATAAGTTTTAATTTAATTTGGGCGCTATTCATACGGAATCATATTGTACATGTACGACTATTGCGACTCATTGAGCATACATAGCATTCATGTTATTAGGTGTCTAAATGAAACTTGCAAATGTCTTTTCCTACATTTATGGCAAAAATAGCAATGATTCACGTCACTTACAGGTTTTTTTTTTTGGTTTAGACCTTATAATTTCAGTTGAAATTGTATTCAGATTAATTCTTTTTTTTTTTGGATTACCTAGAAAATATATTTTTGCAGACCAAACGACGTATTGATCATTTCAATGGTGAATGGATTTTCGAAGTACAAGCAGAAAAGCATCCCACAATACCGAGAGGTTGAAAATTGTTCATGGAGGAGGAGAAAATTCGACTAAGTCATCCTAATCATCCGCAACAGTAGCAGTAGTTCTTTTTTCTTTTGTTTTATTTTTTGCATTCAGAAAAAGCAAATATGATTTCTCACAGAATAAATGTTATAGTGAACGTTGTTCCCTTTATTACGAATTTAAGTAAGACTTTATAAATTCGAATATATATTTTTTAAATAATGAGTTGAAGTGAAGAAAAAAAAATCAAAAATCATAGTGACAACTTTGTACAATAATCACTCTAATTTTTTCCATAAAATTTGCAGCTATTAATTAGCCTAACTTGAGCTTTTCATCATCACGCATTCATCTTTCAATCGTTTCCCATAATTTGAGAGGAACTGTAGTGAATGAAGAAGAAAAGCTCTATCCAAACTTCAACTTTTTACCTTCCAAAAAATTGTAAATCTTCTCGAGAATATATAACATACTCGTTCGTTCATTCAGCTTGAAATTTCACTTTATTTCCATTTCAATTTCTTCTTGTTTATTAATTGTGCGCTTTGCCTGTTTTAGTTGTAGATAATCAACTAGATTTCTCCATATCTTTTAGTATTCACGATCATTATTGTCAATTGTTGTCATCATTATTACAATTGTATATCAAGCATATCATTTCCAAATCCCTTAAACGTAATAGTTTTTAGGAATCTTAAAAGTTTACTTCAATATGTTATGAAGCAGCAAAAGCAATGACTTACATCATAATTTCATGCTAAACTAACTAAATTTACCTATTTATCCATTGTGCATATTTTTATACGTTTGCGAGACACAATCATTCACACAACGAATAAGCTCAATTTGTGGACTGTCTATGTGTATGTGTTTGTGCGCATTTGTGCAAGATCATATACTTTTTATCTTAATTACATGACACTGAAAGATCTTTTTTTTAAAGAAAAATTAAATCTCACGTTTTAAATTTCGAAAACACTGTTATATTATCACCATGATCATCGTCATCACTGCTATCATAATTAATTGAAATATATGTGAATTACTGCATAATGCCAACAGACGAGGATATTAGGTGCAAGCGAGAGTTTTCTAAAGCATTATCAGACATTTTTAATTTTAATATATAAGTGGGGTGAAATAAACTACGCTTTAAGAAGTACAGTTACATTGAGTATCACATATTGTGCACTTCATACCATTCCTATTTTTATTACCTGTTATAAGAACTACAGGATGTGTTGTACATATTTATTCCCAGTAAGTCACTTTCGAAGTTTCAATTCATGAAAACGACCGTGCTCAATGGAGCACTTTCTTTTAAAAGCAAAATAGCTTCTCGAACTTGCTCTTTTCCCAATCATTTCCCAAAAATTTATGTTTGATTTTACCCACATTTTAGCAAACCTTTTGCAAAACCGTAAACATACGCATGAATTATTCTAAAAATGTTAAGTCAAAGAAATAAAAATGGGAAAAATAATAGGTAAGAAAATCGCAGATAATGGGTCTGCCGATTTTCAGATCTCAGACATTTGTCAAATCTAAAGAAGAGAAAAAGAAACGATCGGACCAACAAAAAATTTTTTTCTTCATTACAAAAAAAGACTGGATCACAATAAGTAAAACAATCCGGAGAGAACTTCCATTTTCCGTTTCGTTGAACATACAATACAAAAATTCTACAAAGGAATTTTTTCTTGAATTTAGAACATGCAAAATTCAGAAAGCTTGATGTTCAAATGAAGGGCCATAATTAAAGATATGGCTGATAAATCAATAAGAACTAACACCGAACAATTAATGTATAAAAAACAGCGAGGGAGAATTGAAAAAAACAAGAGATGACAAGATGAAGGAATAAATAAAGGAGAGTAAATCACGCACTTTTCAACAGAGATGCAGCGAATTTGAAGCAATTTATTCCTTTACATAAATTTTTTAGAAAACCTTAAAATTTGCAATTGGTTTTTCTCTGTCTTCTATCCCGTACACATAACAACATATGGGACAATCTTTGATGCACACTGAAAATGATCTCTAAAAAGAGCTACTTATGAAAATACAAAAAAGTAATATATGTAACTGGATTTTAGTGTACTGAATTTCATTTCACTTTCAATTTAAAATTTATCAGGTTCAAATTAAGGGAAAAAAAAGAAACTGCGCACAAATGCTCTTGACATATCCATTTCAAAGAACTTAAAAAACTTGGAAAAAATGAAACTTTTCGAGAAAATCTTCATTATATATGAAAAATACATTATCCATCAATGAAGACAGGATACTACTACTAGTAAACTTGGTACTACTATATGATATATCAGGTGATTAGGGAGATATTGCGGTACAGTACAGTGTGGTACTTAAAGGCAGAGTAAATTAAATAATATGTAACTGCCTAAAAAATGATTAAAAACCGTAGACAATATGAAAGAATTTTGCAAATTTTGTGGACATTACACGAAACATTCGCAAAGATTACTGAAGAGGTATCGTGCGAACCGATGATCAATAATTTTACAATCAAAGTTTCCTATTAAAAACAGTCTTCAACAAGCCGAAATGGGGTTAATTTGGCAAAAATAATCTAGAACCACTCACTATTATATTTACCTATAGAAATCCATGTAAATATTCTCAAGGATTTCTTTTCGATTACATAGCACTTATCAAATTTTTTCGCAAAAATAAGTTTTTCTTCCGGAATCCAAATCTTCTAACTCACACTAAGCCCATTCAACTAGATTACAATGTCAAAGAGACGTCAAAGATCTAAAAATTTAAATTCAAAAACAGTGCAGCGAGTGTGACGCACAATGAATAAGAGAAAAACAGATGAAACTCATACTGAGGACAATTATTTTTGCTGAATATATAGGAATTATGAATAAATTTGAGGAAGATAAAATATCTCCCCAAATTCTTACTTTTTATTGTGCTAATCATCCGGCCAAAAGCTGGAGAAAGTCATGAGAAGGTAGTAACGAATTTAGGACAGTAAATACTTTTTGTATATTTAATTTGGAAATTCCAGTTGAAATTTATTGGCAAGAGATATATTTCGTCCAAAATGATTCTAATTAGCAAAAAATTCAAAACTTATTTTCCCTCCGGTGTCCTATCACAAATTCAACTCCAGTGCTATTTTCGATGCAATATTCTTGAAACCAATCGATGTCCCCGATATTCGTTTGAATCGAACACCATTTAGACTTAGCCTTGGCAATTTGCAAACCTTAAATAAGTGAAGCAGTAAGTAAAACATCTGTTGTTTCTCCTCGTATTTTCAAAAGCCCAAAAGTATCCATCAACACCATTTCAGACATCCATACTTTTACAAATAGTCTTTAGCAAACTATATATACTTGTGAAATTTCAATAACATGCAAATTTGCATAATCATTCCTATCGTTCTCATACATTCTAGCAAAAAATATAATTTACTTCCATTTCCCACTGTACCAGCGAGTCGGTATTGGGATCACCGTGTACGCATAATAATAAATATTTCTCACGTTGTTCATAATCACAGTTATTTTGGTCCAGAACTTTCCGAATTTCCCTAAAATAATTGAAAGATCAGTTCACTCATCATGCTCACACAAGTATAGTTAGTATATAAGAATTTTGTCAGAGATGATCGAATACACCATACCGAAGTTGGATGGCATCAAAGCATTCAATCGGTACGGTATGTGTCGATGTTACAGCTTTCTCCAGAAATTTCTGATTAAAAATTACGAAAGTCTAAAATAACCATGAAACAAAAAGAAAATGTAATCTGTCTTATACATTATACTGAATCGAAATCTAACTTCAAAGACTTACTTCATCATTTCTTCGGGTGCTAAAGAGCTGGTAGTTTTCATACTCCACGTGAACCGCAGTGACCGTGGCTTCACTTCATCACCATCTGACATATTACCACCGCCCAATGCTGCATTTGGTGTCACGGGAAATTGACCAGGATGCTGCTGAACAGTGTTTAATCGCTTAAATCCAGCAATACTGGCAGTCGGTCCAATGGTTCCACTTCTACCGCTATGTTTAACCGTTTCGCTGGTGTTACTTGGTGTTGATGGTGACGTCGTAGTAAGAGCAGATCCTTCAGCAATTCCCACAATTGGTGTCCTGCGCGATGATTGATATATAGATGAGGCACAAGTTGATGGCCTGCTACCAAAAGTACCACTGCTATAGTAAGTTGGTGGTAGCTGGACACTGCATGCATCACCCGATCTCGAGCTATGATGATGGTTTCCTCCAGTAACGGTACCACTGTTTGGAGATGCCATCGATGGGCTAAACGATTGGATCGAATCAATGGACGATCGCATGGTATCACTCACATTGCTTGGCAGAAGTATGGAATCAAGATTCGAGGGTGAGAGCAGTGCGGAAGCATCTATTGAGTAATCTGGTATTTGAGGTACTACTTTATGTACCAGAGAATTAGGGCATATTGGCGAATGGCGGCGATTGCCAGAGGAAAGAGAATTCGAGTAATGTAAACCACGGGAAGGATTGATATGAAGTAAATCATAATGAGGTGCAACTAATGTTAGCGGCTGTGTTTGGTCAGAGCTCGGCGACATTGTACGCGAACTGCTACCAACACACACCGAAAGCGGCCTGGCCGTTAGTGAAAGCTTGCTATTTAAAGCTTGCACATTATTAACTTCATTATCACCATTGTAGTTATTGCTAATACCATGGATGTTAACTTTATTATCAGTAAATGAATGCCGCGGAACTGCCTGCTTTATAGCTATTGGTGACAGGAGTAAAGGTAAAGCTTGTTGATTTATTGAAGCACCACGACCGGAAAAGCAACGAACTTGTGATACTATCAGAGGGGTATTAGGTAAACTGTTTTCCGAAGTAGGTGCGGATGTACCGCGAATAGATGATGAAGCATATTGCTGATAAGGATAATTTTGATGGTGATGATGCGATGATAATGATGATGATAATGACTTCTGCTGAGCAGACGAATCACTACAAACAAAGATTAGTAGGAGCTTAAAGAAATTAATCTCCAAAAATTTAAATAAAGCTTTTTTCTTCAAAACTGTCCAATGGCCAACCTTAAAAAAGCATTTTGAAGAGCTTAGGGACAATCTTTTTAACAGAAAATTTAAAATTCACGTCGAATAAAAAAATTTGTGCTTGCACCGCAAATAAAGATGCAAAAAATGAAATGAAAGAAGCGCACGTTCATAAATTTTTTCCGTTAAATAAAAAGCAATTCAAGAACACTTCATTTCAAAAAAAAGATTTTAATAAATAGTAACTTGCGAATGCTCGTCAGAAAAAGTCTAAAAACATGTCTTGAAATAAGCAAAATAAAGCACCCTAAATGACAAAGATACAATTTTGGAATTTAAATTGCCTAATTCATAGAACATTAATTTAATTTAAAGATCTGCAAAATAAAACAGTAAGATAACATACATATATAATCAAACATTCCGCTAAATGGAATGTTCCTCTTACAGAATAAGCAAGATTTGGAAGAATGAACAAAGATAAGCAACATAATTATAGTTAGAGTGGAATTCCTTTTAGGTATAATGTCACTGTCAAGAAAATCCTTTTTCCAAATCCCAGTATTTTTAATAACATGTTATTAAAAATCAAATTTTTAATAACATCGAAACAGCACTTCCTATAAGCCGTAAAGAAAAGATATTGTTAAATTTCTGGAGCCTTAAAGATGAGAAAGAAATCATAAAAGATGACTTCCGGAATGTAGTACGCTACATAGTACATGAAAGTATAAGATTTCCAAATCTACTATTGAGCAACAGAAGATGTGATCATCCGATATATGCAGAATGCTTACCATCACCGATTCCCTTGAAAATGCAAATGATAATATCTAGGTATGGTAGGCGATCATAGGGCAGTATTCGTAAATAACAAGAAATCGTTGCTTTTCCGGAAGAAAGCACTTCTGGATTCTAATCCAAATAACTATTCGTAGCTGATCAGATACCCAACATGTGAGCATTGGAGAAAAAAGTTTAGCCTTGTGCAAAATGGTGATACATCGGTGAGAAATGGAATATTCGGTGCTTGTGAATAAACGATGGTGAAGTGAAGGAACCATCATCATAACCCGTATACTTATATATAATTAAATAAATCAACCAAATGTTGCAAAATCATTTTTTCATAAATTTATGATAAGCTGATCATAAAATGTCTCTTTAGCTCTGCAGCAATAATTTCCAGAACTTTATGAAAACATCATATTACCAAAGGATAGAATATTAAATAAACATTCCAGCAGTGCTGAAGAATGTAACACCGATTGATGGTTTATTTAAAGAAATCAATCGATGGTAAAATTCTTCAGCAAAGCGATCCCTTTGTAAGTTAACTGCAACTAAATATTTCATAGCAGATAAGCAATATTTTAATAAAAATGCAAAACCATTTTAAGCGTATCAAGGTTAACATAACTAAATTGGTAGACCATTCAAAACACCTTTTCAGAAACTAAATGGTTTGCAAAGCTTGTTTAGGGTGTAATAATGCTTCCATTATTGGATTGCATCCTAAACAAGCTTCGCACTTATATTAAATCAATTATCTTAATGTAGACTAAAAGTAATTCTAGTATTTGTATTCGATCCTTAAAATCTCCTAATACTTAAAATTTTCCTTCCAAAAAACATGGTTAGTAAAAGCATAACAGTATAGACCTGCAAGCATGGCAAACATTTTGCTTCATATGTGAATATGTGAAAGCTTTTTATTTTATACACATTAAAAAAACCAATTAGTACAGTGGGCAGTAAAATCCGATGTTAAGCTCCAAATGAGAGCAAAATCCCTAATGAAAGTCAACTACACAGTTATCGCTTATGCCTTAATCAAAATTTAGTCAGCAACTCACTGATATGAAACCAACTAACCGACGAGTAAGCTTGGATAGTTTGGAGAGAAATGATCCACGTGGACCACCATTGCCCGATGTGTTACTAGCACCATGTACTACTTCCGATTCAACATCATCATCCATATTTCCCTACAATTCAAAAAGTAATAATATGGAGAACAAAATTTATTGAAAAACTTCTTACATCTCAGAAACAATTTTTCCTTTAATTGATCAAGATCAGCCCCCAAAATAATTGTTATACTCTTGATCATCAGCTGTTTTATATTACATAAAATTCATTATCAATTGAAAAGAAACCTTGTTGTGCTCTGTTTTCCCATGAAATGTTTGCCTGTTACGAGTATGTCTAGGAAAGGCAGCATTTTGTACTGCTGTACCGTGAGTATTTAATATTGAGCCTGATGGTACAGCTTGCGCACCTGATGAAGGCTGAAATAGAATTGTTAAAATGGTAGAAAAATAAATAAATGCTTCCATTATCAATGTCTCCGAATCTAATCAGTTCGATTTTTACATAGTATGATTGGATATTCTCAATAATAATTTAAAAAAAAAAAAAAAACCTATCCATTTCAGATATGCCTAGTTCTTTACAAACGCTAACCTGTTACAACATATGTTTTAGAAAATTAGTATTGAATGAATTTCAATTTAAAAAAGAAACATACTGATGTCCCTGAAACAGGGCTTAGAGCGGAACCAGTTGCAGACTTGGTCAAATTCGGGCTATTATCTTGTGAATGTGGCAACAGTGCAGATGGTGATGTTTCTTTAATAGCTAAATTTTTTATAACTGCTTGTGTAGATGCGGCTATTATTCTTTGAGGAAACCTGAAACAGGAAAATATTACAATCTTAGATTTGAAAGAAAGTATGCGATAATTTTGTAAAAAGAAATATTACTAATGCAGAAAAATTCAACTTAAAATCATGTGTTAAATTTTGCTTGAAAGCAAAAAGCTTCTATTGAAGATTAGAAAATAATTCTTGGCCAGGAAGTCGAAAGGAAATTAAACCAAAGCTATTATATTTAACATGAACTGATAAATCAGTACTGATTTTTTCTGAACAATCTTTCAGCAATTCAGTTCCACATAAATTATTTCCGTCGATCATTCAGACTAATGGCGTTTTTCTGAATACCTTCGGATTTGAAATTTGTTACGCACTTTAGGTACAGTTTCAAAAACCGAGATTTTGAAATTCTAACAGGAACCAAGCTACTCTTTAAATCGTCCATTAATCCCAAAAATTTGTTAGTTGGAGTCCAAAACAGAAGACAAACAGAAAAAATCATATTTATGAGAGAAAATATTAAATTTTACATATTACTGTTGCAAATATGGCAAAAAGAAGAAGAGAATATCAATGCACTGTTAGATTGAATCCAGTGGATATTTTATCAAAATATATTTCACGATTGTTCCAAATAACGACAATCTACTGTTATGCAAAAGTTCTGGAGCTGATTCTAAATGGAAGAGTTTTCTATTTATAAAGATAGATTCTGAAGACTCTATAGCCAACTCCAGCTTTACATATCCATACAATAAAGATTTCGAAAGCGCATTTTGTTGTTAAGTGGGTGCTTGATGAATGTCACAACCATGTTCAGCAATATGGAAGAAAAATTACAACACAAGAAAGATAACAATTCTTAGCAAGCACAATCGATAAGATAAGGAAAAATATGCATTAACTTCGTGAATCATTTTCACACTATCCACAAGCACATAGCAGATATCTGAACAAATGATTCTGGCGTGTTCCGGAATCAAAATCTGAATAATTTGTATTTGGAATACTTTACTCAAAATACACCAAAAACATTCTGCAATTCCCCCATCAAAACTTTAAACAAATCATTCACGTACTTTTCCTCTTTTTTTTCCGACTGTTCGACTGTTTGACCGACTATTGATGTAGATGATTGCTGCCGTGATATCGCGTTAACATCTCCATCATTGGCATCACTACCACCATAACGATTAATATCGCCCTTATCGGTAATTGCATGTGCAGTAACTGCTAGCTCAGCTTTGCTATTATCACCGTTACTAGTGAACAGTTCACCGTTTTCATTGTCATCCTCCTTAATTGATGGTTCATTTGGAGTCGCCGAAATAGAACCACTTTTCTAAAAAAAAGATTTCTCAAATTTACAAATCTTTAGGACATTTGGAGCAGAGAAGACTCAGCAATCAAAATACCTGAAGCGATGTGACCTTCTGCTGTGCAGAATTCGAAGAAAATGGCGAGCTTGAAGTACCACGAGCAGATGATGTTCCACTGATACTTTTGGGTAAACCTTTCGTACTGAAAAATGTTAAATTACAACCAAATAACACACATTAAGCATACAGATTGCATCATTAGTTCTTTGCTCAAACTCCTAAATTTCAAAATTTTATCTAAATTTTTTGGCCTAAAACAGATAAGATTTGCCATTCAGACGCTCAAATAATATAGGTAATCGAAAAATATGACTTTATTAACGTGAAAAAACTCACTCAATCGTCGGATACACAAATCGTGGCCCCGTCGGCAAAATTCCCCTGGTTCCTAAATTAGTTAATGGTGTTCGTGCCGGAGCGGAAGCTTTCCTAAATCCAGAAACATGTATAGCACCAGCCTGTACACCACTTCCGACAGTTTGCATTACATTCGATGGATAATTGGGCACTGAAATGAACTCTAAGAATAACTAATTTTAATGAAGGACAAAATATTTTCGAGAGAACAGAGATTATAAAACTTCAGCAGTACAAGATAACATACTCATATGACCCGGTTGCATACTAAGCGCTTGTCGACCACCCGGTGGACCAACAGCATGTCGCATCGTAACCGGTGCTACACCAGATATAACTCGTTGTGTCACAGGTGACGTTGTAGCGTGAATTTCCGACGGTAAAACAGTTGTTGGAAGCTGAGCAGCTGGTGCAATCGTTTGCTCCTGTGATCCGCGTCGTGTCTTTATTGATGGCACCTGAGCTGATGTTGAACGAGGCACAAATTTTTGGGTCTGAAATTCCTCACATTCAAATGTTTTAAATTTAAAATTTTAAAACTGATTCCCGTTCTTCAGGATCCTAACTCCGACACCAACTTGAGAGTCGTTCCTGAAAGTTTTTTGAATTAAAAACTTTTGATTTCTTAAGTTTATTATTTAACGATATCATAAAATTAAATCGGAGCTTTACCATAGTAAAACCAGTAGAAGCAGGAGGTTGGGCATGGGAACTTTGACCCTGTGTTATTCCATGAGCAACACTTTGTGCTGATGCAGGATTCAGTTGGGAGTTTAAGATAACTTCTCCATCAAGCTAAAAAATTACAGGGAATAAAATAACGTTTAATTGGATAATTAAACATTTCAAAGATTAATACCAGTTTCACTTTCCAAAAGTAACTGGTTGCTCTACCACTTTAATTTCGATTTTCGGAAAAATTGGAAGGCAATGTTATCATTATTCGATTTAACCAAAATCAGTTGATGTCATCTTAATCAGTTTAATAAGGACTAATTACGTAGCAATACCGTAGGTTCCATAAAAGATGCTTACAATAAGTATGCTAAGATCGATACCTCACATTTTTCAATTACAAATCATTACATTAATACCTTTAGATTTTACAAGTAAAATCCTTACACTAATACTTCGATTATTCCAGAAACTTTACCTCGCGTTTTTTCTCCCCCAACAAAATGTAGGTTGCATGAAGATCATCAAAACTGCTTCTGTCGAGCGCTACCACTATCGCATTACGACTGTAACCCATTTGCTGGATAACAGCTATTCGATTTTCATCTTTAACATCCTTCGCTGGTTCAACATACGGTTTTAATTCATCATCTTCATAACCTATATTCATCCACCTAAAACAGAAAAAAAAACCACCATTTAACTACCAGCCGACTTGTTTTTTCACTACTAATTTCCTGAAACAAATTGTATGTCGGAAATCTTAACACCTTAACTTTACAAAAGTCACAATTAATTAAAAAATTTTGCGCGAGCACTAAAAAATAGAAAATGACTCACGCCGACCTATCTTTCATAATTGCTTCCAGTGTTCCTCTACGAGCTGGATTTAGTACGAGGAACTTCTTCAGAAGATTTTCACAGTCGGTTGACATATAAAATGGTATTCGATATTTTCCTCTCAGCACCCTTTCCCTTAATTCCTGAAAGATGTGAGGCTGAAAACGTAGCATTTCTTTTACTTGTAACTTATTCATTCTCCACAAATAAAAACTGCGGAATAACGAAAATACTAAAGAAATACCTTCAAATTTTGTCCATCAAAAGGCAGGCTGCCCGAGACAAGAGTGTACAAAATAACTCCTAAACTCCAAACATCCACTTCTGGTCCATCATATTTCTTCCCCTGGAATAATTCTGGAGCTGCGTAAGGCGGACTACCACAGAATGTGTCCAATTTGTTACCTGAAAAAAGTATAGTACTCAACATATTAATAAGGCACAAAACATTTCTTCATCTACAAACAAATGACAATATTCAAAAAAGTTCGCACTGATTATCACAATTAAAGAAAAAAAACATAATCACTAGTAAGACGATATTATACTTGGAGGAAGAGATTTTAACCGATTAAATAAGGTAATTAAAATATTAACAGTACACATTACCGTAACTTCTCGGTGACATCATAAGAAATATAACATGCATCAGAATGCCACAGTAAAAATTTAAAAAAGAGATGATAAGTAAACAAAAAAGAAAATAAATTAAATAAAAGAATTACCAATTGCAAATTGATTACTGAATCCAAAATCAGCTATTTTGATATTCATATCAGAATCAAGCAATAAATTTTCCGCCTAAAATACTTTTTTTCTGTAATCAGGAATGATTAAATAATTTATGAAAATATCATTACCAATATTTTAATTTTATGGAGTAATTAGAGAGAATGCAATGGTTTATAAACCACTGCACTTTTTTCATGAGTTCATTCCAATTGTGACTGTTATGACAATAAATCAGCGAATGGGGATAGATCGAGAGATTGCATCAGACATAAATTCATATATCCGGCTGCTCAGCATTCAAATCTTTTAAAATATTGCTGTCATAAAATTTTTTCACTAGCTGTTATTGTAACATGATCCTAAGAAATTACCTTCAAATCCCTATGTATGATATTTTTTTGATGTAGGTATTGTACAGCTGACACAATTTGTCGAAATTTAGCCCTTGCTTCCTTCTCTTTCATTCTACCATGAGCTACCAAATAATCAAATACCTAAAAACAATGGAATAAAAAGGAGGAATAAGGGTCTAACAAATCAAAAACTGAAAGTCTTATGAATTTCACGTTAGATAAAACAAAGGAAGAAAAGTTTACACCAGATACATGAGAAGAGAACATTTATGCTTGACACAGATAAAATCGAAAACTTCACCTCTCCACCACTCGCATATTCCATCACTAGGTATAATGTATTTTCAGTTTCCATTACTTGGTAAAGTTTCACTGAAACACAATACTGCAAGCAGTTTGAAATAAAATAAATTTTTTTCTGTCCAATACCTCCTCCATTTGAACAGCAAGAAGACAATAGTGCCTGTACTTATATTTGACTTCAATTATTTAACTTGACAGTTCAAATTTCAACAAACTAAAAAAAATTCAGTTAGTGGAAATATTATCTTTAGCATACCAATGTTTGGATGATCCAACTGTTTCATTATCTTTACTTCTCGGAACAACTGAAAAAGAAAATACATTAATATCTAACAGCAGAAATACTCCAACGAGTAAAATCGATTTCCATTACACTACAGTAATTGAAAAAATAAATGAGAATAAAACATTTTCACCCCTTTTCAGATAATGAAGGAAATATGTAGAGCCAAACCTTATGTAGACTGCCCGGATTGAGAGCAGTTTTGTCGATTATCTTAATCGCAACCTCGATACCCGTAGGAATGTGCTTGGCTAGTTTAACCTACAAAACGAATAAGATGGGAAGAAAGTTTTGATTAATCCTTCGGTTTTTTACCTTACTTCATGTAGTATCAAATGAAATCTGAAGTAAAAAACTGAATCAATTGATATTCTAAGCACTTCTTCGCAGGATTAATTACAAAAACCTTCGCATTATCTTTTAAGCTTTTCGATCTAATAATAGTTTCACTTCTGTTACTGGAATATTCTGAATTGAAATTCGAATAGTTCAGCACTTTTGTGCAATTAGCACACATTTCATATGCATTACTCGAAATTTCCTAATACGATTTTTATAAAAATTGCGTACATTATCCATTCGGTATGTGAAATAGAAAAAATCAAAGTGACAAACTTTGGCAAAATTTCCCTTGCCAATTGTTTTGAGCAACTTATATTTCCCAATATGTGGGTCATCAGTGGTTCGCGATCTGCTTTGCACACGATTTGCATTCAGATTCGAAGAACGATGACTTCCATGAAATCCACCGCCAGCACCATGATGAGAGCTTGAACTGAACATTTATTATAATCGTTATAATAATAGCTATTGACCTTGGCTAATAAATTTCATTTTTATAAGATTGCGTAAAACGTTACTGTTTTTTCGTTTAAAATTCATCAGCATCATCTTTCTCAGGCCTTTCAGCCATCCTCTTATTACAGAATTCTCTGTTTCCATTAAAATTTCTCTTCTTTTTTCCAAATAATTATAACAATTTTATAAACTGGATAACTGTGAATAAACCAGGATTTTAACAACTAACTGCTCATCACTATGCCTCATGGTCCTGACTATGATCCCTTATTTCTGAAAGAATGCAGCTTAACAAAATAGAATAAAGAGCAGCACCTTGGGTGAGCTCCATGATGAGAGGACATTTGGGCACTGGTATGCGAACCATTGCCTCCAGCAGTGGCATGATGATGGGAACTGGAAGATGACGGTGCAGTAATTGGTGCATGTTGTACCGTGGTCGCCATCCGGTTATGCAATTCCGACGGTAAGCGACAAAAAGCACTGGTTGGTACTCTAATTGATGAACAAGGTGTTTTCTGCAAAACAGTAACATTGATTTCTGTTAAAACTCGCAAAATGATAATTTGATAACAGTTTCATAATAACTTGATAATGTGGTAACAATTAACTCAATTATATGAATTACTTATAAGTTTGTTTGACTTTATTGCTGTCATATTTAATATTATACCACATTCGGGAAAATAATGAATACAATAAAACGAGAAACACACATACACTTATTTCGGTATTCCATAGTTCAAAAGAGACTAAATTGAATCGGCAATTTAAAGATTATAGCTTGTCAGGTCAGCCAATAATATTTTGCGAACACTAGAGGCAAGAATTTTCCTAATCATCATTTTTCAACTTCTGTATTAGAAGAAAGCAATACATGGCTTATTAATAGTGTCAAATTAAGAAGTAACTCAATGTATATATTATTTGGAGTGATGAAATGCTGAAAAAACTCAGAGAGGCAACATTTGTAATGTAAATAAGAAAAACAATCATTATTATTTTATTAAGAAAATAAGTCACATCACAGAAATATGAAAATAATGAAAGATATTAAAGCTCGTCCTTCCTTTTCTCTCTCTTTCTCTCTCTCAAACTACTTATCCGTGTCATTCAACATCCTTTTCAAAAAAGCCACTTGGATAAGCAATCGAGCACAAGGTCGTAATATCCTTATTAATCTGTTTAAATTTTCTAAAAAAAAGACTATATCAGCATCAATCAATTAACCTGATGGATTTTTGGCAAAAACAAGAATAGAATCACTGCTCTCCGCGATGTAATATTACCTGTTTTGTAACGGGTTGCACCTTCTTTTTTCTGGCAGCTCAACAAACCAACCGTTGTTTAGGTGAAAAATAAGAAAACTTTTCCTCTCAAATGCAAAATATATGGTAGTGTGAAATAAGATTCTTCGACATATATTTCAAACTACGTATCTTTAGAATTAAAACCACGTGGATAATTTCATTACTTCTAAAAAATGGAATAATACATACATTTTGTCCGTTGGTAGTGGACAGTGTTGAAGCAGTATCCTGAGTTTTGACCTTTCGGAATGATTTCCGCACAGGCGGTATATTACTGTTTTTCCAGATTATATTCTTATTTACTGCTTCAGTGCTAGAGCACGAATTCACATACTCCTGAAATAAACCGAAAATGTGACAAATGATTCTATGTCCCAGGAATCAGAATACATTACGATGAGAAAAAGACAGAAACGTGAATTATAATTATATTAAATCTTTTTTACTGTTTAGCAGCATATTTTCCCAAATTTTCACAAATTAATTTATTATAACTAAGCTCCATTACAGAGATCATTTGCTGGTATACTCAAAATGCGTTTATATTATAATACTAGAATATTTATGACTAATCAACTTTATCGTTTAAACCAACGATTTTACGTATCAATATCGAATGATTTTCATGATTCTTCACACACAGTGTATTTAACATATTTTACAACCGCTAATAACATTTTGTGTACTAAACTTCATACATATTATGATTGATAACAAGACGAAATAGTGTAAATATGCCTGTTATGAAATCAATCATTGAAGTAATCGAGATATCATAACAATAATTCATAACTCAACTGTAAATTAATGCAAACAAAGCCTTCCACACGCTACTACTTATCAGATCACACAAAACCAGCAATCGACAAAATGATAAGGCTTATCAAACACCATCTAACGACAAACCATATCAAACTACCGCTGATTAACAATAAAAACTAACCGGACGTCTTCTACTCTTTAGCAGAATAGCATAAGAGCAAATTTTCAGACACAAAGTATCTTAAAACCAGCTACTGTTACGGATAAATTATGAAGCAAAACAAAATAAACCAAGAAAGTAAATAAGGAACGAGATTTAACGGTGGCCAGCTTTTGCAACTCAATTAATCTCAAATGATCAATCACAATAATCCGGTCAAAAATAATCCGAAAGAGTGACATATTTCCAGAGATTGTGATTGAACATTGCTCAGGAAAAGATTCTATATATTTTTAGCATTACTTGTCCCAAACCCTCTTCTCAATATGAATTTAAGGAAAAGATGAAATCTTCAATCAACGAATATTAATTTGTCTAGTGCTATAATTTGAATTTTTTGGGCAACAAATGTAAGGCCAATCAAATAACAATACACTACCAATTCAAGAAAGTTCAATCACTCAAATATAACATGTAGGTAAGAGTGAAATGAGTCCCGAAAAGTTGCATAAAATTTGATAGCAGCTAGTAGATTGAAAAAAAAAAAATTTTGCTTGCAATAAAAAATATTTCATGTAAGGTAACTAGGCTTGAACTATTTGATAGCTTTCATCTAAATACCACATCGTTTGTGTATGTGTGTGTATGTGTTCATGTATGTGTGTGTATATGTGTGTGTATAGTATTATAACACGTAGACCCACCCATTCATATATACACGCCTACATACATAAATACAGCCATCTGTACGCAATCTTTATATTGTTGGCCGTGAAATCAACATGAAGCAATCATAAGCCAAGCTAGCAACCAAATAGTGTCAGATCATCTGAAGATAGCTTTCTCATTAATTTATAACATTATCATGGAAACATTAGCAAAGTAGCATAAACTATTTGCTGAATTATCAATTGTCAGTTTGATCTTTGGTTTTTTTTTTTTTTGAAAGTATAAATATCATATATGGATTAGAAGAAAAAATTAGCGAATATAGAGAAGTGAAGAAAAGGTGGATGATATAATCTTTACATCTTTTCATTTAATATTTAATGATATCTTGTAACAATCAATCTCGGTCAAAGGTTGATAACCAGAAATGTTGCATAATCTTTATTGCATTTACCATATTTCGAACACAGCTTCCTCCCCTTAATTCATTATTCACATTTTAGTTGCCTTTTTTTTTTAGTAATTCTGAAAAGCATTACAATAAATTTCAAAATTTTGGATCAAAAATTAAAGATTATCCTAAGGTATTTTTCATGATTGTGCTAAATCCAGGAGATGAATTCTTTTAAAAATGAATCAAAACTTTTGAATTTGCTGCCACTGATCTGTAACACATATTTAAGCATTTTTCTTAAAGGATTGATCTTTTAGCATCAAATATACATGCAACTTTCATACTGTAAATGCCATAAAGCAAGATGGTAGGAAGAATAGAAGATTCCCACTAAATAATTTTCCTCGTTTAAGCAAGAATCTATCACTTATCTTTCTCAAATAATAGTCAACTTTAATCTTATCCTTTAGTATTTTTAACAAAGATATACACTAAGGTAGGTTCATATTAGATGACCTGACAAAATGGAAGATATCGAAAAATCAATTCATATTTGTTTGTACGAGTGGTAAATCAAACAATGAAGTACATTAAAATTTCCCTTACAAAACTACACATTTTCATCTTCAATAATAACAATAATAATAACATCATCAAATTTCCTACAAATTTTATGTCGAGCTGAATGAGCACTAACAATTTTCCAATTCTCATATTTAATCGACAAAAGCGCAAGAAACAGAGGAATGACCTTTTATGTCAACCAGTCATCTTCCATCACCGGCACAGCAATAACAGAAAGATAGCCTGCATTTATCGAAAAATTATCAAATTTTAAAACCATCTTTTCTTTTTACTCTCAAACTCTAACTCTCTTATTTCTTCTCAGTCTAATTTTTCCTCCAACTTATGACAATTACATTGCTAGTTGATAATGAATAAAAAAGATTTCTAATAAGTAATCCTAGTTGGACCAATTCTTAGTTTTACTGTTAAAAAATTATCAAACTAACTTTATTTTTCATATATTTTATGGATATTTATCATAATACTGTAAAATAAGTTAAAGAGAGTTTTTGGATAATACAGTAAGGTTTTTTTCTTTTTTCTTGAATTACTAAATGGAAAATTTCATTTGCTATCGTTTGTAATGATTACAAAATAAAAAAAAAAAACAATACTTATTTGATGGCTAGAAAAAAAAATGTATCATTTTTTTTATCATTATCACAATTTATAAATTCAATCGTTCAAGCATAATTTATTTTATTTTTTACTCTTCATTATGCTGTAAATTCATTATGTCACATTATTACTATATTTAAACGCAAGTAATTTGATGATAATCCCGAAAACATTGTTATTTATCATATGCATAGTATGATACGTATTATTCGGACTGCAATATGGTATGAAAATTATTCGGTATGCCCAAAGTGGAAAAAAAATTCAAGATTTCAATTATCAACAATTTCATGAAATTGAAATTGGAATAGTAGTTCATTATGAATAATGGTCTATCTCTTTGCCTATCCGTATGTTACCTTTTCTACATGAACATTAAAAAAAAAGAAATTAGGTCAAAATTTTGAATTCAATTTGTGAATTATGATTCATATATTTCATTCATATTTGAAAACACATTTCAAAATTGAACTTCTTCATAAGAAATTGGAAAAAGATAGGGAAAAATGGAACTGAAAAAACTTTTAAGAACAATGCAATTTTTCTTTTTTTTTAAACAGTGAAAGCTAACAATCATATTGATTGTTTCCATATTTGCAACTTTCACAGCATTAATTTTTTCATTGTATTCTCTCATTTTCTTTCTGCACAGTTAAGTAAGTATTATATTACATTTTCCGATGCACTTTGAAGCTTTGAATAATACCTAGAAGATAAATGCATTCCAATATCTTAATGAGATCATCTAAGAACCATCAGTTAGTGAACCAACTGAATCAAATTTTACGAGGAAGATAAAAAAATTTAATTCCTGTTTCCATCATAAGTCCAATTTATAGCACAATATTTATTTTGTATCAATAAAATTTTCCTTTGTTTTGTATCTTGCAAATAAAATGCTATGAAATCTCGATTCTCATCCATAATAATCATACCCTGTTAATAAAACAGATTCTTGTTAATTTTATAAAACAAATCAGATGATGTCATCCGTATCATCTCCATAATTCATTCGCTTCCCACTAACAAATTATAAAAAAATATATTTATGTATCTGTAAATCATGCTGATTACTGAACAATTCATCGTTTTCCAATTTTGCTATATTTGAGAGCATTTTTTTCGTTCTAAAAAACGAAAATAGTCTTATTTCCGAATGCTAAATTTGATTCATTGTGAAAAAAAAAAAAAAAAAACTTTCTGAAAGTTAGAAAATGTTAAGGGAAGAATAAATTCACCAATAGCAACTAAGCAGTTAAGCCAAGATTAAATAACTTCAAAATACTCAATGTCAACCACAGCTGTTCTTCAATTTACTTCTTCACATACATGATGTATGCCACGCAGGCATCATGACCGTAATTTCGATATTCTTAATTATCAGGACAAAAAGTGGTCAAAAATCAGATGCTAATTTTTCGGGAATAAGAAACTTAGCTGGAATATCATCAGGCTCTCTCTTCCTCCTCTCCAAATAAAAATTATGACCATAAGCATCATAAAAATTTTGGGACAAATTTAAATAAAAATTAACACGTTAACAAGTTTGTAAAAAAAAAAAATTAATAATGTTTGAAATCATGCAGTGGCAAAGAAAAAAAAAACTATAAACGAGAAAATAAAATTTGACTAGAACGAACTTATCACAGCTATTTAACGCAATCAAATTTATTTGGAAGTTAAAAATTCATATGGAAACATCAATTAACACTTCTTTTTTCTCGGATAGATTGGTAGAAAAGAGATGATGAAAACTTTTTCCCATTTTGTTTGCTTGCAAAGAAGTAAGACTTGTTTAGACAATTTAACCTGAAGCATGAAAAAAAAAAAAGCAATTTGTTAAATCATAAGCCTTGTATACTTGAACCTAAACATACTATCTCATTTTGGTGAGACGATTTATCAGAAACAGCAACGAATTCATATTTAACTCCAAAAAATTTAAAAAAAAAAAATGATTGAAATATTGGAAAATGAAGATGACATATTTTTGTAAGAGGACACATACATCACAGTACAACGATCACAGCAAGTTACCATAACCTTTCGCTTTAATTCATTATCCTTAGAAACAAGAAATGATCAATGGTTATTCCTACCACCAATGATAATCATTGACTAAAAAATACACTTTTTTTTTTCATTTCGTTCTTTTCAAAAGAAAAAGAGAATTAAAATCTCTGCAAAGTGTTCACAGTCATAGACAAATTTCATGTTGGAGAAAAAGATAATAATATGAGTGAGATGAAGCTTATTGCATTGCGCGCTACACCTTACAACGTAAAATCAAAAGCGATGAAAAAAGAACTTCAGACTGCTTCTTTCAAGATTTGGGTTAAATCTTTTTCAAATTCCATTAAAGTTAACAAAAGAAGGAAGAAAAATGAAAACTTTTAGAAATTTACCCAATTCTTAGCAACAATAACCATAATAATGTGTATCTATTTGACAGTTAAAATAAATAAATAAATCGAGAAGGCAAAAT